AAACCCGACTGGGGTGACTCGCCACCAGACTGAAGCCCTGGGAGCAGAGCGAGTGTACAGGACAGAAACAGCCTGAACAGGGAGGGGCAGGTGGCTGGGAGGGAGGGAGTGCTCATTGACTTCAAATTGCAGGCTTCAGAGGGTCCCACGGGAATAGAGCAGAGCCAGAGAAGAGGCAGGATGTCTGTATGGTCAGGGACCTGGCCACAGAGACTGGGGCATGGGGCCTGGTCACCAATTCCAGAGACCTGAGTCATCTGGTACATGACACTGACCCATTCCATGCTTGGAGTTCAGCCAGTCTCCCCACCAGGGTTGGCTTGGTGCAGATTCCATGATGCGCTTTGTGGTCTATGTGATTTGTGCCCCCTGGAACCCCCACTCCCTAGGCAACAAATGTAAATGCACAGAGCCTGCTGGGACTGGTACCCTCTGGAGTTGTGCAAAGAGACAGCTTTGCTCCCCACCAACAAGGCAATGAACATAAACAATGACTTAAAAAGTATGTTGAGGGAAATGACTCCTTGATGGGTATGATGTCTCCTTTTAGGGTTATGTTTTGGTGGTGGTTGCACAGCATTGTGAATGTACTAAATGCCACTGACTTGTTCACTTTAAAATGGTTGATTTTATGTTATGTGAATGTTACCTCAAAAAAAAAAGTCTTTTTTTAAAGTATTTTGAGGCACTTGAAAAGAAAGTACTGGCCGCTTTAAAAGATTTCTTACAACAAATCGGCCCTCTGCACAACATCACCTCTCTCCCCAGCTTTGTGGAGTAGCTGACCAGATCCCAGAGGGAAGAACTGGGTTGCCTTAGAAGCCCCTGGTATGTACATTATGCAGTTTCTGTAATGTTCTCAAACCACATATATACAAAAACCCTGTTGCTGTCAAGTCGATTCCAACTCATAGCGAACCTATAACAACCTTATAGGATAGAGGAGAACTTTTCCATAGGGTTTCTAAGGAGTGGCTGGTGGATTTGAACTGCCAACCTTTTGGTTAGCACCCGAATGCTTAACCACTGCTCCACCAGGGCTCCACATATGTACAAGGCAGTGTTATATATGTCTCTGTAATATGTATACGGCATTTTTATGTTTGCTTTGATAAATGCTCTTAAGCCACAGATGCACAAGTCACTTATAATGTAACTTAAAAGTAGAAAATTTCTGAATTTAAAAATAAAAATATGTGAAGCATGTGAGATAATGTCATAAACAACCTCCCTAAGTTGGCTTGACACCTACATGATGTGATAAAAGAAAATGTAATATAAAATTGTATCTCTGTAAGGTGGCCTTGGGACATTAGGTCAGTCCTAAACAAACCTTTAATCTCTAATAGATGCAACACTGGGCAAATGTCTCATCTTGAAGAAAAGATGTAACACACTAAACATGACATCACCTAGCCCTTACCAGGTAAGGCCAAGGTTAGAAAATTTTATATAAGCACTGGACTTCTGTGCATTCCTTGAGAAAAGACAAAGGCAAGAGATCCCTTTCTATACTCTGACACCCTCCAAAGAGGAGACCCTGCCAGAGACTAAGACTGAGACTCTGCATGCTGCCCTCAGATCCCAGGTACCGGAAACCTCCACGAAATTCAAAATGTGGTCAAGTCTTCCGAGACTACTCATAAAAGGTAGAAGCCTGATGTTTAAAGATTAGGACTCTAACCATTGAACTAACATTGTAATTGTTAATTCTGATTCACTGGTCCTTGTTAAATAAATGTCTTATGGTCTTACCTGGGTGCCTTGCCATGACTACCTTGCAATAAACTAAATGAGTTTATGCATATAAACTTAAGCATGTCTTTATTCATGTTTAAAACTAAAGCCACAGGGCTGTCCCGTTCCCACACCAGAACTGAGAGGAAGGGAAGGCTTTTGGAAGCACTGGTCAGAAAGGCAACAGAAAGGTAGCATCAAAGACCTCTGAAGGCCCATTCAAAGGCCCACCCAGATCCTGGGAATCCAGATGCAGGTCTGTGCAATTCTGGGAAAAACCACCTTCTTGATTTATCCAACCATCCATTTGTCCATTCATTCATTTATTCATTCAAGGAACATTCACTGATGCCTGGCACAGTGCTGGCTACTGGAAGTTACTCACAGGCCAGTGGAAACAATGATTAATAACAAAGATACAAACAGGGTGTAAGCATGCCTCGAGGAGGGGCATGAAGGGATGGACGTTCGGGGTGGGGGGTGGGGGGAGGAGGTGTGTTGGGGAAGGGAAGGGATGCCAGGGCTGGGTCTCCAGGATTGCTGGTGGGGGTATGTCCAGCCTTGGCCTGAGGGGAGCAGGAGAGGGAGGAGAGGACAGCAAATGTGGGGTGGTTTCAAGAGGTCAGGCTGAGAAGCCAGGAGATGGAGCTACTCACTCCCACAATCCTATTGGTTGAGCCAAATCAAGGCTGCTTCTGTGCAGGGGGTGTGTGTGAGGTGGTAACAAAGTCTTTCCAGCCCTTGACCCCTTGACAGGATCCCCAACCAGGTGGAAGGGATTCTACCATCCACCTCACAGGATGAAAATGGCCTTCATGTTGCCCCTGAGGACCCGGATCTTGGCTACCCAGAGGGGTTAAGGATTTAGAACCCCTCTCTTCTAGGCCCAAAGGTTCTCCTGGAGGACCCCAGTGGTATAAAGCCTCTCCTCAATCCTTTATAGGGGTGAGGGTATCAGGAGGCCAGCCACACAGCCCATGCCTCCACCAATCCGGCCCCTTGCAGGAGGTTGTTCACACTGGAGTCTACATCCAACTCCCTACTACTCTGGGAAACATCTCCGGGGCTAGGACTTTAGTCCTTTTTTCTTCACTTTTTAAAAAACTCTTAGAAAACACAGTAAGACAACAATATTAATGGATTTCTTTTGAAAAGAAACAAAATTATCTAGTGTTCATTAACACAGCCCTTCCCATTTGAAGAAGCTGTCTTATTAACAGAATGAGATAGTGAATGAAATGTGCTTAGCACAGTGCCGGGCACACGTTGATGGTGTTTGTTGAATGAGTGAATGATTCCTAATAAACTGATCTTTCTAAACTGGCTCTGGATTTTTTTGCTTGTCAATATCCGCTTATAAAATAAATCTCTATTTTTCTTAGATCAATGTTTGATATTTTTCTAAAATCCTTTTTTCTGTTAAACAAAAAAGAGAGAGAAAGGAAGAAAAATGAAAAAGAAAAAAACCCTAAGTCTGTCTCACTGCTGGCTCAGATGTCCCCAACCCCTCAGCCTGGTCGGAGTGAACCCTTGGTGGATTAACTCCCTGATCTTCTCTCCCGGGCCACGGGTCCACATCCATACAGGATACCCGATCTCTTTTCTTCGCACCTTAGTTAGCGGTGATTTCACCTTGACCTGGTTAAGATTCCCTGAAAATCACTGGAGATTGGAGGATGGGAAGAGAGGGCCAGTGCTCAGGCCTTGAAAAGTAGTAGCGGTCTAAGAGGCTATTCTGTTCTACAGCTGTCTTTAAGATGTCTCCTAGTGTGAGTCCCCTAATTTTTTTATCCATAAATTTGTCCCCAGAGGTGATTCTCCATCTGTAAAATGGAGGTGGGGGGCAGGGTTTGGATTCTGGTCCTTGCCAGTTCTAAGTCATGATTTTAAAGAGGGGGGAGGGATGAGGATGGCAGTGACCAGACCTCTCCGGCAATTGTCATCTGTCACGCGCAAGCCTGCCCTGGAGTAGGCGAGGCCCGCCGGTCCGGTCGGATCTGGTTAGGCCCCTGCCCACCCCGGGGTGGGTGGGGAGGAGCGTCTGATGTAAGTTTGGTTCCCTCTTCCATCAGGGTCTGGTGTACTACATTAACAAACATTTAAAAAAATAAAGGTCGAGTGTGTCCGAACCGCCTCCCACCTTCAGCAACCACTATCCGCCCCAGATCGCCAGGTCAGATTTTCTGTGGCTTCGTCTGAATGACGAAATAGAGGATGGCCACTGCACTCTGGGCCTTTTCTGCAGCTCTAGGACCTCGGTCCTGATGCAACTCTCCGGGTCTTTTACACAAACCTCCGAGGAAGGCGGGGCGCTAGGACCCGACGGACGCCCGGGCTCTAGGCCGCAACGGGCAGCGAAAGGACCGCTGCGCGGCCGTCTGTCGGTCTGGTATGGGGCCCCGTTCTCAACCCCAGCCAGGCACTATGAACCTGGGCCTGGTCAACACCCCTCTAACCACTCTCCCCAACCCTCCTCCTTTGAAGCAGTTAGGGAATGGGAGAGTGCAAGGTTTGGGGACCAAGCTCCTAAGGCAGGCACAAAACCAAAAAAAAAACCCTTGCCGTCGAGTCGATTCCGTCTCATAGAGGCACAGACTCCCGAATTAGCCCATCCCCGGGCGTAGAGTAACAGGCGGGCGGGCAGGTGAGGCCGCAGGGCACGGGGTGCACGGGGCCCCTGCGTCGTCCTCAGAGCTGCCCAGTCTTTGGCCTCCACCCTCATATCCTGACCCTTCGCAAGGCGGGATAGCTTGGCGTGCGTGCGCGAGGGCCAGCCCAGTTAACGCCCGCTCCCCGCGCCGCGGTCCCACGGGCAACCACCCGTGCTCCCAGAAGGGCTCGCAGCTCGCAGGCTCCCAGACGCTGAAGGGCAACCATTCTTCCCTGCCCGCCTACCCCTGGTGCTTCCCTGCCTCTCCAGCCCGCGTGGTCACGGGCTACCCCCTCCCCCAGCAAGGCGACCCTATAATAAACAAGTCTTTCCTTGATCCTCCCCTGCCGCGAGCGCCCTCGGGGACCTCGGCAGCTGCAGCGGCGGCGGATCCCTTCCAGAAAGGGGGCGTGGCCGCGACTTGGTCAGGGGATCAGTGGGGGCGGGGCCAGGGTGTTGTCACCGGGCAAGAGAGAACGTTGCGAACGTGCGCCCGGAGCCCATTGGCCGAGCAGAGCCACACTCCCGGGTCTGGATTGGGCCACAGCGCGGAGGGGGTGTGGCCTCGCCGCGCTAGTCCTTATAGGTCTCTCGGCGCTGATGCTAGGGATCCTAGTAGGCCGAGGGGGAGGAGCGGGTGGGCAGGAGGGGCAAGTCTGAGCAGAGCTCGGGGGTTGGCACCGCTTTGCGCACCCATCCAAGCGGCAGTCGGCACTTGGCCCAGAAGCTCTCGTTGACCGCACTAGCTGGTGAGTGTCCATTCTGTGTGCGGATCTCTTCGTGGGCGGCCTCGCGGTTTGGTTCAGCCCCGACTGACGTCCGGTCGGTGCCCCTCTTGTCTTACAGCGTCTCCTGTGCTCCCTCGCCCTGAGCTCATCTGCAGACGTCCTGGCGTCCGTACCCACCATGCCTAGTCTTTGGGACCGTTTCTCGTCGTCCTCCTCTTCTTCTTCGCCCTCGTCCTTGTCTCGAACTCCCTCTTCAGATCGGCCGCCGCGCTCAGCCCGGGGGTCGGCGGCCCGAGAGGAGGGGCTCGGCCGCTGCGCGAGCCTGGAGAGCTCGGACTGCGAGTCCCTGGACAGCAGCAAGAGTGGCTTCGGGCCAGAGGAAGGTGAGCGGTGGTCTGGGGCCGGGGAGGTGAGGGAGCGACGCGCAGGAAGGGATTGCCGGAGGACGGAGGGGCGGGGGGACGGGAGGAGGGGTTGTTGAGGATAGGGTACGAACATGGGGCGGAAACTGAGGCACGGAGTGGGAAGGAACGCTGATTTCTTAGTGGAGCATTATCTTTGTCACCCATAGTCTCTTTTAAGATCTGCTCTAACAGTCCTTCCCCCTGTGTGTTCTCCCGTACAGACTCGGCGTACCTGGATGGGGTGTCCCTGCCCGACTTCGAACTGCTCAGCGACCCGGAGGACGAGCACCTGTGTGCCAACCTGATGCAGCTGCTGCAGGAGAGCCTGGCCCAGGCACGCCTGGGTTCGCGGCGGCCCGCGCGCCTGCTGATGCCCAGCCAGCTGGTGAGCCAGGTGGGCAAGGAACTCCTACGCCTGGCCTACAGCGAGCCGTGCGGCCTGCGGGGGGCGCTGCTAGACGTCTGCGTAGAGCAGGGCAAGAGCTGCCACAGCGTGAGCCAGCTGGCCCTCGACCCCACCCTGGTGCCTACCTTCCAGCTGACCCTCGTGCTGCGCCTGGACTCACGCCTCTGGCCCAAGATCCAGGGGCTGTTCAGCTCTGCCAACTCCTCCTTCGTCCCTGGCTTCAGCCAGTCTCTGACGCTGAGCACGGGCTTCCGAATCATCAAGAAGAAGCTGTACAGCTCGGAGCAACTGCTCATTGAGGAGTGTTGAACCCAACAGAGACAATGGAACTTTTTGGGGTGGACACCGGGCAGGCAGGAGCTGAGGGACTGCTGTTCCTGTCCTTAGAAAACTGACGACAGCCACCTGAGGGGAGGAAGGCCGAGGTGGGGGAACATAGTGTTTCCTAGGAAGCTCATTGAGGTGTGTGCAGGTGGCTCCCCTTTGGAGGTACTTGCCCCTTCAGTACTGTAGCATGAAACAAAGGCTTAGAGGCCAGCCAGGCTCTGGCCGGATGTGTAGCATGTACCTTATTATTTTTATTATTACTGACAGTTAAGACAACAGTGGTGTAACAAGGCCAGGAGAGCAGCTGGGCTGTGCTGGCCTCTGCAAGGGGGTGTGTGCTCATGGTAGCTGGCCTTGGTGGGAGGGGGGAAGCCATCGAGGGTGGTTTTGTGTGTCTCATGGTCTGAAGGGACCAAGTGTGTTTGTTCTTTGTTTTCGTATTATTTGTTTTTCTGATAGGAGCTTCACTACTGACCTGTTCTAGGCAGCTGTCTTACAGACGCATGAATGTAAGAGTAGGAAGGGGTGGGTGTTGGGATCACTTGGGATCTTTGACACTTGAAGAAAAAATATACCTGGAGTTGCATTCAGCCCATCCCCCACTGTGTACTGAAGAATTGAGCTTGGAGGTGATGGGGCTGAGTTGGGGTGGGGGCTGGACCCTCTTCCCCAGGAGTGCCATCTGGGTCTTCCATCTAGAACTGTTTGTTTACATGAAGATACTCGCTGTTCATGAATACACTTGATGTTCAAGTATTAAGACCTATGCAATATTTTTTACTTTTCTAATAAAAAATACAGTTTTTAAAAACAGTTGATTTGAGTCTCTGTGTCCTGAAATAAAAGGGGAGGGAGGTGGGTGCTGTAAAAGGTGGATTTCATCCTACAGTGAGGCCCACCTATGTTTTCCTTGCAGGCACCTTTCTGAGACTGCCTGCAAACCTGGGAAGGGAGGTATGTGGACTGTGCCATCTGTGCCAAGAGCCCTGGCTCCCTTGGCTCTGTGCTGGCTGAGGCTGCCAGGGGAAAGCACCGGAAGGTGAGGGGTGAGTCAGACCACCCGCTGAGCCAGAGCCTCTGTAGGGAGCACTCACCTGGCTGCCGTGGGTCAGAAGGCACAGGGGCCCTGAAGCCCAAGGTCTTTACAGGCACTGAACGTTAGAGCTGGAAGAGACTTATTTTTTTCTGTGAAACAAGTCAGTCACAGTTCTATTTTTCCACTGTCATACGAACATTGCAAATCTTATCTCTGGATATAAAACAAAAGGTGAGAGGCCAGGAGCACCAAGAAAAAAGGTTAGAGAAAGATGACTTAATCCACACTTCACACTAGGGCTCAGAGAGGGGCCTGACCTGCCACCCTGAGGAGATGTGGCCAGGCCAGGGGCAGACCCCTCCAACAACCCACCACACAGGCGCACATGCACACAGAAGTGAGGCACGAAGAAGGAAGAGGCGAGGTGAGGGAAGGAAGGCAGGAGACTGCAGGCCTGTCTTCAAAACACTGGGTGAGCTGAACTTGTGCTCCCTGGGCCTCAATTTCCTTATCAGTGAAATGGGGGCTGGGCTAAATGAGGGCCAAGGCCCTTCCCACTTCTGTGGGCTGTTGGGGCAGGTCCTCCCACACCAGCTAGCCTTTGGAGAGTTGTTATCTTCCTTGTTTCTTTTCTTGGTCCCAGACAGGCCTTGTTTGCCCAACAAGACTGAAACAGTGGTTCTTCCACTTGAGTGTGTTGTCAAATCACTTGGAGCTCTGGTTAAAACACAGATCCCTGTGGAGATTCTGATTAAGTGGGTCTGAGGCAAAACCAAACCAGTTGCTGTCAAGTGGATTCCAACTCATGGAGACCCTATGTGTTACAGAGTAGAACTGTGCTCATAAAATTTTCAAGGCTGTGACCTTTTAGAAGCAGATCGTCAGGGCTTTCTTCTAAGCTGCCTATGGATGGGTTCGAACTGCCAACCCTTCAGTTAGTAGCAGCGCACTTAACTCTTTGGGCCACTCAGGACTCCTTGGGTCTTGGGCAGAGCCCCAGAAATTCGCATTTTCATCAATCTCCCAGAGGTTCTGACACAGGGTCCTGAACTTTGACATGGCTTAGAAGACCCACATCTTTTTGGTAGAACTGAGCGACTTGTTCCCCTAATGAATGAACTTGGGTTAGAACTAGATTTGAAAATAGCCGATGAGAACAATGAAGATGCCCAGAGCATAGCTGTAGGAAAGCCCTCACAATAGCCTCTTGGGAAGGGTGGGTGGGCAAGTGTTTGTAATATTTTACAGGTGAGTAAACAGAGTCCCAAGCCCTTGAATGATCATTTTCTTCTGACCATGGGCTGACCTTGTCCACTCTCAACCCCTCAGTGTGAGGATGGGGAGTTAAGGAGGTTTGGCATTTGGGCGATGTCTGGAGGCACTTTCCCAGGAGTTGAGACAGGGGCCAATGCTCATGGCTGTGCTTCCCCGGCCCCCACAGAGCAGGGGAAACAACTGCATCAGCTTCCAGAGTAAAGATCTTGTTGGCGATGGGAGGATGAGTTGGATGGCTTGGTAAGCATTAACCTCTCGCCAAGTCAGGCATCAGCTGAGCACACTCAGTTCCTCTTCTTAGGTAATAAGACTGAAGCCAAAATAAGGCCTGGGTTACCAAGAAGCTCAGCTAAGATGTCCTCTCTTGAAGCAGGACAGAAGGGCCCCAGGAAAGAGCTCTGTAGTTCGGCTTTCCCTATCTCCCTGAGAATGGGAAGAGGCTTGCTGAGGCCCAAGCCACTTCTGGTCCTTAACCTTCCCAAGATGTGGCAGGGAGCTTTGGCCCAGGTATTAGTTTCCTTAAGAGAAGATGGGACAGGCTCATTTGTTTCTAGCTAATAAAACTCAACTTGGGAAATGCTTTCAGAAATTATTCCATTTGGCCTATAAAATTTTACTGATTACCTCCCTTTGTATAAAATTCCCTCCCTTATTCCTTTTTCTCAACTTATCAGGCTAGAACCTGCAATAGCTCCCTATTGTCAGACTCCATCATCTACCTTTCAAGAGTATTGGGCCCTATTCCCCTATCCAAGCTTACTTCCCACCACTCCCTACCGCTCCCTTTACTTTGGTAGGGGTCAGTATGGTCTGCCCCCTTCTCTAGCCCCAGGCTATGCTCATTCCAACCTTTGCTCAGACTATGCCCTCCACCAGGGATGCCCTTTCTCTGTCTTGCCTACAAACCCTGCCTTTCCTTTAAGGCCTAGAGTAAGTTCCAGCCCTTTTATGTCTCCCCTCTGCCTTCTCCCTGCCTCATCCTTCAATCTTTTCTCCATTTATCATGATGTTGCTTATTGGTCCAGTTGTGAGGATTTTTTTTTCTTTATGTTGAGGCGTAATTCATACTGAAGGCTGTAGTCTTTCATCTTCATCAGGAAGTGCTTCAAGTTTTCTTCACTTTCAGCAAGGAAGGTTGTGTTATCTGCATATCACAGGTTGTTAATGAGTCTTCCTCCAATCCTGATACCATGTTCTTCTTCATATAGTCCAGCTTCTCAGATTATTTACTCAGCATACAGACTGAATAAGTATGGTGAAAGGATACAACCCTAATGCACACCTTTCCTGATTTTAAACCATACAGTGTCCCCTTGTTCTGTTCAAACGCCTGCCTCTTGGTCTCTGTACATAAGCACAACGAAGTGTTCTGGAACCCCCATTCTTCTAAATGTTATCCATAATGTGTTATGATCCACACAGTCGATGCCTTTGCATAGTCAATAAAACACAGGTAAACATCTTTCTGGCATTCTCTGCCTTCAGCCAGGATCTATCTGACATCAGCAATGATATCCCTTGTTCCACGTCCCCTTCTGAATCCGGCTTGAATTTCTGGCAGTTCCCTGTCGAGGTACTGCTGCAACTGCTTTTGAATGATCTTCAGGAAAATTTTACTTGCACATGATATTAATGATATTGTTTGATAATTTCTGCATTCTCCATTTAGTATAAATATGGTAAATTTTTCACTCAGAGAAAAGCAAAGCAAAGAGATACCATGAGCACTTTGGTTCAAACGTTATTACTGTCTGTCTCCACCAATAGAATGTCAGCTCCAGGAGAGCCGGAGTTTTGTGTGTTTTGTTCACAGCTATATTCTTGATGCCTAGAACAGTTCCTGGCACACAGGAAGTGCTCAGTCAACATTTGTGGAAGGAAGGATGGAAGGTCTGTGGCATCTCCACCCTGCCATCTCCTGGAGAGTCCCACTAGGGCCCCTTCCAGGCACTTTCGTGTCTCTCCCCACTCCGGTCCCACTCCAAATACCCTAACATTCAAGCCCCCAGCACCCATGCCTTCACAGTGGGCTAAGTGGTAAAGGGCCTGGATGAAGACTGTGAATCCTCAGTATTCTATGATGTATAGGAAGAGAAAGGGTATCAGTGGCCAGGCAACACTAAGCAGGTTCCTAGAAAAGGAAGAATGAGGCCTCAGCTCTGAATATTAGAGGCAGAATGCCCTCCTCATTGTCTCACCTGGGCCTCCCCTTAGCACATTCGGGTTCACTGTCTGAGCCCCTCAGGGGATATTCCGAGGCCTGGGAACAGAGTGCAGGCACCAACCTAGGCTGGCACATTTCGTGGGGTAGAAGCAGGAGACCACTCCGCTGGAGAGACGGCTTCAGGACTGGTGTGTGCTTCTCAGTGGCCGCCAACTCATTCTGAACTTCCAAAAATTTTAGCTGACTTTTGCTATAATTGATTGAGCAAACATGACAAAACTGTGACTTCAGTAACAATGTTAAGTGAACATTTATTTGCCATTAACGGCATCTACATACATTTAAAAAGCAGCAGTACAAACATGGGCCAGACACACTGTTCACACAGTCTACAGACAATGCGTGGGCAGGTCCCATCCCTGCCTGGCCCTGGTAATAACTCCAAGCCCTCATTCAACCCGCCCCTCGCCCCCAGGTCCACTATCTGGGAAGTGCACGCTCCACCATGAGGTTAGAAGGAAGGGGAGGCTCAGGCTGGGGGTGGATAGGTAGCTCACATGTATCAAATGCTTTACATCTTTAATTCATTTAACATCTCACCAACCCTATGAAGTGGGTAAAAACCCATTGCTGTCCAGTGGATTCTGATTTCTTAATGACCCTATAGGACAGAGCAGAACTGCCCCATAGGGTTTCCAGGGCTGTAATCTTCACAGAAGCAGACTGCCACGTCTTGCTCAGCCACATCTTTCTCCTGTGCAGAGCAGCTGGTGAGCTCTAACTGCCGAGCTTTCATTTAGCAGCTGAGCGCTTAACCACTGCGCTCTTATTATATCACCATTCCTATTTTACAGATGAGACAACTGAGGAACACGGGCAATGGAAAGAGCCCTGCACCGGGAGTGGGGAGACCTAGCAAGATTCTTGCTCTGGCCCTTGTTCCTCCATCTTTGAAACGAGGGGGAAGGACTGGGTGACATCTAGGAGGCGTTCTTCAGCACAGCTCAGCTGCCAGTTGCTTTTCCCCAGGCCCGCCCCAGCACTGCTCCCTGGGTTCAAGCCTGGGGTGGGGGGCGGGGAGGAAAAACAGAGCTGCCTTGCAGGTCACCGGGCAAATGCTTGACTGCTTTCTGGGGCGCGTCCAGGTCTGGAAAGAGAACGTTAAGAAGAAATTTCCACGGCCCTTCCCCCAGTGAGGGATTTTCCACTCTGCCTGGGCCGACTTGCCCTTCGGTTTCCCCAGTGCCTGGATCTGGCAAACCACAGGTTTTATTGAATGGCACAGTTCAGTGCTGGGGGCAGTGGAAGACCTACTTCTGGTTTCCCCTCTAGGAAAGG